CCCCCCCCCCCCCCCCCCCAAAACCAAAAAGAAAAACAGAAAAGAAAAAGCCCTTATGTAACCCTAAACCCTCCTCTATTCCTTCCCAATCCCTCGACCCAGCAGCTCCAAAGCGGAAGGGCTGAAGAAGTCCCGAAAGGTCCGAAAGCGCAGGGGCTTGGGGCTTTGTGTTCGGGTTCACAGGGCCTAGGGTCTTTAGGGGTTTAGGGCCTTTAGGGGTTTAGGGGCCGAGGGTCTCGAGCTCAGGGTGCAGGGAAGTAGCATTCCGGATTTTTTGTTGGGGGTTTTTGACGTCTCCAGGGGCTCCAAAGGCAAGACTGTTACTGTGAATTCCCGTCGTGACTTTTGACCCTCGCTTAGACTTCGGTTCCTCGGGTGTGGGGTTTAGGGCCCCAGAGTTTTTTTGAAGAGAGTCTTTGCATACCTTGGGCTTTTTTGGGGATCGTGTCTCCGTGTCTGCCCCGGTTCCCTCGGGGAATTCGCCTGCAAGTTCCGTGCCCAAGGATTCCTTAGCAGCCGATCAGCACAGCTACGCGCACATCGGAACCTGCGCGCTGATGCTGGCCTTTAGCCTTGGGAGCCTGGGTGATAATTACGAGGGCAGAGCGTAGGAGGCAGGGTTCAGAAGCACTCTCGGCCCTATGCCTACGCCCGAACTGGCCATCTTTACTTGTGGGGAGTAGCCATCTGTACTGCCCTACCGAGAGGCTGAAGGGACCCAAACCCAAAACGGAAATCGCTCCATCCTCGAATGTGAACCCTGCGTCGTCTAGAACTCCGCGTTGTGAAAAATATTACGAACTAAAGACGAAGAAGAAAAATAAAAAACGAAACAGTTAAATATGATAATTAGTGACAATATTGGGGCTCCTTCAGCTCTTCCCAGCGGAGCTGACTCTATAAAGGAGAGTTTCGGCGTTTACGATTCTCCCAAAACCTTCCTTAAACGTGCCCCCCTGCACCGTAAACCCTGGAAAAAAAACAAGACGCAAGAAGTCTATAATACGATAATTATATTAAGATGCACTGTATTATGCTATAATATACCGAACTAAAACATAACCTTATATGCTGTAACTAGCATACTATTACATCCCCCCCAACAAAAACTTAGAGCTTTTCTTGGGGGCTTCTGTTTGGCCGAAGCATGAGGCTCTTCTTCCTCACCGTGGGCCCCGAGCAGGCCAGTACTTGGCGAAAGAAGTTGAGATCTCAAGGGTTTAGGGTTGAGGGGTTTAGGGTTTAGGGTTTTAGGGGTTAGGGTTCAGGGTTTAGGGTTTAGGGTTCAGGGTCCCGGCAGTATGAAAGAGAACCATGCTGTATGCCTACATAGACCGGGACGATAAGCTCAGATGGCTCTTTGGGTTTGAGTCTGGCGGCGCTGTTTCGCGGATGCAATAGTCTGGCAGTGCTGCTTCAAAGCTGATTGGCAGAATCTGAGTTCAAAGGCTTTAGGGTGTAGGATTAAGGGTGTAGGGTTTAGGGCATGGTAAGAATACTACTAATTGGGTTTAGGGTTTGAGGTTTAGGGTTCAGGGGTATGATAAGAATACGACTAACAGGGTTTAGGGTTTAGGGTGTAGGGTTCGTTGCAGGAATACTTGGCCCAGAATATACCCACACCAGCCGCAAGCTCCCACTTGGAGAGGCTCTCACTGCAATGGGGTTCAACACGAGGCTTGAAGGTTCCGAGACCGTTACGTACCCCTGGGCTCAGAGCTATGAAGGTGTGCGGCTACATGCGGGTCTAGTCGGGATTTGGATCTCGAGTTATCGACCAACTCAGCGTCGATCCCACATTGGGATTCGAACACGTGGTGTCATCTCGCTTCCTGTCGATGCAGCGAATGCTGCCGGGCTCATCTTGTTTTAATCTCACAGAAAGTCTTCGCAATAGGAACTCCATGCTCCTTGACTTGGAGTACAGTTTGTTGAAGACCAATGTGAAGACCAATGACACGTTGATGGGACTCCTCAAATTGGAGCTCTTCAAGGTGACCCCTCTGCTCCACCCCGCCTCACATTTTTTCGGCTTCCGAAAAGTATAGCTGAGGAGCCAAAGAGGAGTTTACCGGAGTTTACAGCCTTAAGCCATGGCTTCGCAGAGAGCTGCGCTGGCCAGTCTACAAAAGATTCTGGCCCACTGCATCTTCGAGACAAGAGGTTCGAGCGAAAGAGGAACCATTCAAGTATCCTGCTGGAACTGGCACTGTGGCGAGATGCCGGTTGATGGACTGTGGCACCTCTGTTCAGGCTTCGCAGGTGTCGTCGGATCACATACATGCTCCTCACCGCAGTTGTTTGCCGGTCTTGATCTTGCAAGGGGCTCTCTCAGCTCTGATGGTGGTGATGTGCCGATATGTGGCGAATACGCCGACTGGCCCTGGTGCAGATATCCATGGCATACATTGTTGGCATATCTGCTTTTGGGCATACCGGGCCTTCGGAACCTACCTCTGGGACGATGTCTTCGACTGAGAATGCCGCTGAATTTTCTAGCAAGTATCCTTCTATGGTGGTTGCAGTGGCCGGCAAATGAGTGTTCCCTTGCCGACGATGACGCATGAGCGCCTAAACTTCTCAACCCTGCTCTCATCGTCATCTTCGCAGCTTTTGGGAAGATGGTCAGGATATCTGGGTTTCCTGGTGGCCTTCCAGGCGGAGTGTGACCTGAGCCTGCGAAAACTTACGGATTGGTGGATTCTGGCAGCTGAGCTGCCTGACGGGCTCGTGACGACGTGTCCTTGGAGTGCCTGTGCCAGTGCATACGGAGAATTCCCTACTCGTAAAGTCCATCTCCTGCAGGACACCCACTCTGCGACGGTTGAAGAGGTCAAGAAGATCGAGGAGGTGACCCATGGTTGGATGTCGGTTTCGAGACAGTAAATCTGATCGAAGTCTGACACATAGACTCCGCCAAGACCTCAGCGGGACCCAGATCCAGAGTGAATGGACCGCTGACGTCTTAGAGATGATCCAGATGAAGCTCTTGGCGGTTCTCGGGGCATCGGATGTGGAGGATATGCTGTTATGCAAATAGGTGAAGCTGACCCGAGAACGGTGGAGCGGGGCACCCACGGAGCCACTACTTTGGAAAGCGTAGTTGAGGGACCTTCGAGTGCTGAGATCTGTGTGGGCTCGGTGGGGGTTGCGGTCCTCTTCCTGCTGCCGATGGTGAAGGTGGTGCCGATGTCAGTGCGAACAGAAGCCCGGCCTCCGGAAATGAGCAACATGGTCAGGCGGTGCAGTGAGGGCGTCACTGCAGACATGGTGTGATTGTCCGGAAATGGTCGTCGGAGAAGCCAGAGTACAAATGCGTCAGCAGTCAGTCACAGTCAATGGCACCGGGGGAATGCAAGTTTGGCCAAGGAAACGGGTCAAGCCTGTTCTATTGCCTGCCGCATGTGGGCTCGCCATGTGTAACTGGGAGATTCTTTGCAGGTGGAAAGAGATGTCCAGAAAACAATCCTCGTACCCTAAAGCGCGAGATCCCTGTGTGCGAGAGTGAGCGTCGAAAGCAAATCCCAGGCCTTGAAACCCTAATCAGCAAACCCTTGAGCCCGAACCCCCTGAACCCGAAATTTTAAGCCCTGTAACCCATAAATCCTGAAACCTTAAACCACGCCCTGTAGCCCTAGAGCCCTAACCGATAGACAAATCCTTGAAGCCGAGAGTCCCAAATCCTAAGGCCTAAACCCAGCACCCCTAAATCTTGTAACCCCAAGACCCTGAACCTCGAGAGGCATCCAAGGAGGCAGCCGATGAGGATGAGGATTCCGACGACGAGGCCCAACCGCAGGACAAGTCGGAGCCTGGGCTTGGCTGGTGGTTGAACGGCTCAGGACACTTTTTGGGCCTGGGGCTTAAGGGTTTGCGGGTTTAGGGCTTTGGGGTGTAGGGTTGGATCATAAACGACGCCAAGTTTCAAGAAGATGACGCGACATTTTCAGTCATGTTCATGTGACCAGCCAGCCCTTCTCAGCAAATCCGGCGGGTTGATGTAGATGCAGCTTCCGAGGGGTGTCTGCAGCTTGAACCCCAGGCCCTGAAACCGCAGAAGGTTGACGCACATCGAAACGTGCGGGTGTGAGAACCGCGTCGTCTTGCTCTCTGAAGATTGAAAAAGGGTGTTTGGGGGATGTCAGCTGAAGTATACTTAACTCTCGGAATCCTGAAGAAGTGTGTTTTTGACTGCACTGAGAGCAGAAGGCTCCGACATCTTTCTGCATGGTTCTCGTTGGCTTCTCGCATCGCATTTTCGGGTTGTCGCCCATGGCGAATACCACGTTCAAAACAGCAAGGACCAAGTCGTCGCAACATCGAGTATAGCAGCATCGTGCCGTCTAGAGTGTGTGGCGTTTTTTAGTAAAACACATGCTATGGCAGAATCTACTCCACCGCCCTCAACCCCACACTGTTCCAGGGCCGGTGGGGTTCAGATTGAGTGTTGAGCTCTCGGGAGTTTCGTGTTTCGAGGTGTGCGGGCTGTCTTTCCGAGAGGCTTGCAGCTGAAGCTGTCGGCAGCATTCTCTAAGTACATGTGTGAGAGCTGGATCCAGGGCTAACGGCTAACTGTAGCTGAAATTCATCTTTCCAGGCGTAGACCGTGCTAAGCCCGAGGCAGCCACGAACAGACAACGTGCAACAACGACCGTCGCTGTTCGTTTGACGGTAGACATGCGATTGTAGAACGAACCAGGCCTTCAAGTATCCTCGTTGCACACTTATGCTTGGCACCTTCAAGTTCGACTTGGTTGTAGCACCACCCAGTCTAAGGACCAAAGAACGGAGAGATGCTGGTTCTCCGAGTTGCTGAGGCACAGCCCCGTATGCGAACTGGGAGCTTCTGGATCAGACAGACAGAGACCGACACAGGCACAGACAGACACAGACAGAGACACTGACACAGCACAGACACAGAGGCAGACATAGACAGACAGGCAGACAGGCAGGCAGTCAGGCAGTCAGGCAGACGGACGGGCAGAGACAGATACAGCGACAGAGACAGAAACAGACAGAGACAGAGACAGACAGGCAGGCAGGCGGACAGACACACAGATAGACAGAGGCGGGAGCGGACGAACGGACAGACGAAGACGGACACATGCGCACGCGCACACACACAGACATATATATATATATACACATACACACACACACACACACACGGACACAGAGAGGCACACAGAGACTCACAGAGACACACAGAGACTCGCCGAGCAAACAAGCAATCACTCACTCACACTCACACACACACACACCCACACACACACACACACACACACACACACACACACACACACACACCCACACACACCCACACGCACACGCACACGCACACGCCCACGCCCACGCAC